TAAATAAGACAAATGTCCCACTGGAGGCCATTTAATGCCATTTCCATAAGTCTCTGGAATGTACCTGGTGCATTGGTCAATCCAAAAGGCATGGTTTTATACTCGAAATGACCATATTTTGTTACAAATGCTGTTTTTGGTATGTCTTCAGCCTTGACTCTGACTTGGTGATACCCAGCTGTCAAATCCAGAGTGGAAAACATTGAAGCTCCTGCAACGGAATCTAGACAGTCTTGAATTCGTGGGAGTGGGAATGCATCCTTAACTGTTAAATTATTTACAGCTCGATAATCCACACAGACTCTTATTTTTCCATTCTTCTTTCTAGCTAAGACCAGTGGAGAGGACCAAGGTGATGTAGAAGGTTGTATTATGCCCCTCTCTCTAAGGTTCAGAATGGCATCTCTCTCCTCATTGGCTAGCGCTATTGGAACTCTACGAGGTGGCTGTTTTACAGGTTTGCTCTCACCAGTATTAATTTCATGTTCTACTAAATTGGTTTGTCCTAGGTCCCATTCATCTTTTGAAAATGCATCCTGATGGTCGTGCAAGAATTTCCGAAAGGCTTCTTTTTCTGACAAATTTAAGGACTGGGAAGAGCCATCATACAGTTCACGTAAATGATCTGGAACCTCACATGCCTCTCCAGGCGAAAGTTCAGTAGATCGGCAAAGGCTTCTTAGGTCACTATAAACCGGTTGGATAACATCTACTATTCCCCCATATCCTTCAACAGTACCCACTACTGTGTCTGGATAAAGCGTTTTTCCTTCATCAAAAGGGTTCATAACTCTCAGGGGTACACTCAGTTTCCCTCTGATGTTAAGAACTGCTGGGGCTAACAGTAAGGAGGTCTTCTCCATAAGATCTCCACTTGGCACAAACATAAGGTCCTCTTCAACATCAACCTCACATTCACGCTGTACAAAAGCCGGTATTATTACTTCTGTATTCCCAGGTATATCACATCTCTCCACACAACGGAGGATAATATCTTTATGCACACCACGTTGTATGCATGGAATATCATGACCTTTGAACCTTATCAGTCCTTTACTCAGGAGAATATCTGCTTGACCAATATCACTATTCTGCAGGATGTCCACTCCAAGTAACACTTCATCTTGGATATCAGCTACTAAAAGGTTTTTCTTGAGGGCCAAGGAACCAAGTTGCAAATCAAACGCTCCTTTCCCATGAACATGAATGGTACTTCCGTCAGCTCCTCGTAAGTGCGACTTTCCTTGAAGTCTGGGTCTGTTCACCTCTTTGAGTTGTTCATACACTTTGTATGAAAGTATAGTATTGGATGCACCAGTATCTGTTGTAATGTGGACGTCTAAACCATTTACTTTTCCTTCTATGTACACACCATCTACATCTGGTATTCGATTAGAAATAAAACAAAAATCTTCTGACTCATCAAAATTTTCTGGTTGTCGGTCTGTTGGTGGGTCTAAACTGTTCGTCTGTCTGTCAGTTTCTTCTGTAGCCGGTCCTTGACCCACAGGAACGGCTAATGCCTGTTTAAAGGTGCCTTTGATACTTGAAGGTCATTAATTCTCTTTGGGCAGTCCCTTATGAAATGACCTTCAGCTTTGCAGTAAAAACAGCTATGTTTCTGTGGTCTGTCCAGAGGAGCCATTTGACCCGAAGACATGTCTGGTTGAGATGTACCAATGATGGGCATACTTGGCTGTGTCCCAGTGTTGCTCTGCTTAGTCAGGTTGTCGAGAACCTTTGCCATCTCATCGATTTGTTTCTGCAAGGCTTCAATAGTGCTACCCGACCCTTGTTTGTTTCCTTGGCTGTACTTTATATTTCTGATGCTTTTCTTTTTCAGCGACTTGGCCTTAGTGACTGTCTTAGGCGTGGCTTCTGATTCAGAATCACTGTACAATGACTTCACCTCTCTGACATGTTTCTTAGTTGAAGGCCGACCTGCTTCTTCATAATTTATAACCTGTCGTACAGCTTCGTGTATATCTGAGGGGTCCTTGACATATTCCACATGAAACTGGGCTTCTCTATCAGCCAGACCATCTAAAAATTTCCTGAGCAAGTCTTCCTCTCTAGTCTTTGAGTCTCGCTCCGGGTGGGCTTTGACATACAGGCGCTTTAGATCAGCCGCAAAGTCCTCAACTCGTTCACCAGGCTTCTGAACTCTATTATTAAATTTTGCCAAATATGTTCGACTGGTTTCGATTGCACGGAAACGATTGGTCAGTTCCTTCGTAAGTCTCTTATAGCTGCTTCTCGACTCTTTCGATAATTGGCCATACACAAAGTCAGCTGCATCTTCATGTAGTCTGGGCAGTAATTGGTCCAGTTTGTCATCTGTTGTCCAGTGGTATCTGTCTGCAACTTCCTCAAAACGACAAAACCAGACAGACCAGTCTTCTTTCCCTGTGTATGGAGGAATCTTTACATTGTGATGCTTGGCCTTTTTCCGGTACACAAAGTCAGACTCTTGCGATGTTTCTCTGTCGCTACTCAAACACTCATGAGATGCACTACATGTATCTGATTGTCTGTTGTCAGGGTTGATCCTTTGGTGGTCTTGTTCAGAGAGCTGTTTAATTTTCTCTTGTAAATGCTCTACCATCTCCGTGAGCTGGATAAGTGCAGTTTGCTCGTTACTTGTACTGGATAAGGCTCTTGCACTTCTCATGGGTGCAGAGAGGGTCCGATTCTGCATCACAGGTACAGAACCTGTACACAAACTCACAGGCACAGAACCTGTACTTAGACCAACAGGCACAGAACCTGTACATGTACATAAGCTTACAGGTACATTACCTGTACAAGAACTTACAGGCACAGAACCTGTACACAAACTTAGAGGTAAATGAGTTCTTGCGCAAATGTTGTGAGCTGATGTTGTAATTGTGGGGAATGAGGTAAACATATGGGCACTCTGGTTTTGATGACAATAAACAGGACCTTGAAAACTCACAGTACAAGGAACTGCATAAGAGTTTACAGGTAAGGTGGTGATATAATTTGTACCTGTACATGAACTCAAAGAAGTGCTGTGTGTATGAGAGTTCACAGGTAACCCAGATACTGGACTTGCTGTCTGTGTAATGGAGGGGCTCATGTGAGTACCTGTACTGGAGACTGCAGGTATATACATACTTGGGACAGCTGTCGGCTCTCTAGGAAAACCTGTACATAAATTCTCAGCAAAATGTGAGCAAACAGGTACAAAAGGCATCTGAGTTGTGGGACCACAGGTGTGAAGATGGCTCATTTTAGGCGTAACTACACTGTGTGCTGTCTGTGGCTGCTCTGTAGTAGAACTCACAGTTACAGAAACTGTATCTGAGTTTCCAATAAAAGGTGTAGATTCTCCGTCTCTCACAACGTCTGCCTGAGAACTCACAAGCACTAAACTTGTATCTGAGTCATGTAAATTTGCAAATTGGGAGGCTTCTTTTTTTGAATGAACAAATGGCTTAGTTCTGTGCATGTCAGCTCCTTCACACGGAAATTCACATTCGCTTTCATTTTCTCTTACAGTATCTACGGAGGAGCACGAAACTCGTGAGGTAGATCTTGATTCTTGAAGACCACGACGCCTCCGTCGGCTTTTACGACCAGCCATTGTGATTTATTTTTTTTTATTTGATGTTCGCTTAATAAAATTTTTGTTTCTCAAACACAGACAAAGCGTTGTTATGATTCGATCACAGGACCCGTAAATTTAAACGGATCCCGCCGTGGATGCCAAAATTGTAACGCTTCGGAACGCCTGCCTTGTGTTGAGAACAAAAACTTCGATGTAAAGTTTTATAATTTTATTCAGTAATACATGAACAGCGAAAATAAATAACAGTTTGAAATTCACAAGTCTCAACCCTCGGGACAAAAGACAAAATCAGTACAACTACTGATATAACTGGGCAACTGGCACTATTTCCAGTAATTTATGATTTAAGTATAAATTCCCCCGACCAAAATAAAACGAAAAGGCTCTCAATAAATGACTTATAATTAATTTACAAATAAATATTCCCGCTACTAGTTCAACTACTAGCACGCAGCAGAAATATTTCCTAACTCCTAAACTGGGCTAAAGAAGATAAAAATAACTAGTTCACAACTAGTAATTATAAATAAAACTAGTACAATTACTAGTAATATGAATTTAGCCTAACCTAACATTACGTATTATGTACTTCAGTCACTTAGATACTGAAATAGTACACACCTTAAATTACTCTGGACAAAACTGGCAACCTTTCTCTAGGTCACAAAGAAAACAAGAGAGCAAACGATATTCAGCATCTGGGTATTTATAGAATTAACAAAACCCGCAATAATTCATAACCAATCATAACTAATAATTCCATCCCGTAAATAATAATCAGCCAATCAAATGTAATTATCGTCCCGTAATGAAATCTCACTCTCGTACATCGTATGTAAAATTATTACAATACGTAAATAAATTAAATAAATTCATAAAACATAAAGTTACACTTTTAAAAGCTCATTTAACACTGTTTAACATTTAATTTAAAAGAATTTACAATCAAATCTTCCGCCGAAATAACTCCAGTAAAAATAGATCACCGTGAAGCATCACGGGAAAATACACAAGTAAACAAAGTATGGCGGCGGCAGAAGTTTCAGTGAAACGTGTGTACTCGAAGACCATAAAACATCGATCACACAAGAAATAAGGTAACTTTAAGATAATCCTAAATTATAGCACAACTTTACAATTACGTATGTACAATTAAGCCAACAAAAAGCGTGTAATTAAATAACAAGACGAAGTCTGACATTCAACACATCGAAACACAAGAAAAATGGCATAGATCTTCGCTACATTTAAGCAGTTGTCAACCAACATTTAAGACATAACTCTCGCTGGACATTTCAACATTCCATGCAAGAATTGATGAATGAATTTAAAATATGCATGAAAGTGCTTTAGAAAAATACCAAGATAAAAAAATGAGATTCAAGAAAAATGGGGGAGGGATCGTTACATATACATCCAGGACATTTTGATGTCTCATCTGTCATTTCTTTCAGGAGTTTCTACTTAGGCATTCAAAGAGTACCTGAAATAGTTTAAACATACATGTAACATATATTATCTGTTATAGTATACAAGGTTTATATTTTTTCAGAGCGTTAGCAACATTTAACTAGGTTAACGGGTTATTGTTTCCCTTACATTTATCAAATCCATAGTTTATTAATTAGTAGTTTGTAGTTTTCCTTTGCAGTGTCAACCAAAAGGTCAATATGGAAAATCACACGTTTCTTTTTTTTTACACTTCCAAACATTACCAATAAAACTCAATGCTGCATTAAGTTTTTTTCTTTCAATGTGTGGATAAAGCTCAATCCTGGGGATTTCTAAATGCAAAATATTGCGATGATTTTAAATTAAAAATTAAAAGTGATGGATCCAGCACTTACCCATGAAGGGAGGGGGTTGAGTCAGGAAGGGGGTAATGAGAGGGGACCTTCATTAAGATATTTTTAAATAACACTAAATAGAAATTTTCAAACAATTTAAATTTTTCCTTGCATGCTTGCTTTGAGAGGGCCTTTTCTGAATAATTTTAAAAATTTCAATTCGTACATAGGTCCTCAAGGGGCAACAAAAATGAAATCTTAACTATTAATATATTATCATATACACGTAATACATTATACATACACCCAGATCAGTTAATTACATAGTAGATAGGGAAAGAAACAAAAAAGAGGGAATAAACAGGATAATATTTGTTGTTACAATGTATTTACATTTCATAAATTCCGATTAAAATCACCTAAGGAGGGATCCTGCTCTTGTTTCTGTCAAAATGAACTTGGGCGGAATAGCGGAGTATGAAAATATCATCTTTCCTGCTTAACAAATTTATTATAAAACTATGAATTTACTTATAGTCCTTACACAATCAAAGACTTGAAGAAATTTTCAAATAAAAGATTAGCTTGTAAAAGCTTCCAATCTACGTACAGATTAAGCCAAAAAGCCGAAAAACCGGTTTTTATTCTTTTAGTTATCTGTTTTGTTTCTGTATCATTTTGCATCTGTATGTGACAACTTAACTATATGTGAAAAGAAAAAAAATAGATATAGGAAGCATAAAAAATGAACAATATATCTTTAAAAAAGGAAAATAGAGAAAATTCGGATCCTTATTTCAGTAAAATTATTTATGTCAAATAGCTGGTAATAGCATCTTAAAGATCCTCTATTGAAAGATCTTTTTATTCAAAAGAAGAAACATTCAATCTTTTGAAATAGAAATAGGTATCGCATGATTGGCAACAGTATTTTTCACTGTTTTGAAATGTAATGATTTAAATCACATTTCAAAATTTTCAAGTCTTTGATTGAATGTGTAAAAAAAAAACTAAATTCATTGTTCTATAATGATTTTGAGAATCAGAAAAGAAGATATTTTCATACGCCACCATTCTGCCAAAAATATAGTCCCTGTTAGTTTTCAATATCAGTTTACCATTTCTATTTAAAGTTGTACAATTGTGTTGAGGAAAGAAAAATATGGTCTTTTAAATCTCTTTCACTTGAATATAAAAATATATAAGACGAAAGAAAATATACTTTGAATATTTCATCTTGTCAGAAACCAGAGCAGAATCTTACCTTTAGGTAGGGCATATATCAAGTGACGTCGATAGTAGATCTTATTATAAATAATAGAATTATTAAAAGTTTAAAATGATATTTTAAGTGAATAACAGTGACGTGTGAATTTGATTCCTTACTAAAGAATACTTTAAAGCAATACCAAATCACTACCTTAACTATGATTTTGGTCATCACATGCTGCATGCGCCATACCACTCTCTACAGTGAATCCAACACTGACTGAAATGACCAAGTAACGAAGACCATCGTCAGAATATGCTATGTTTTTTTTTTCAAAGCAAAAAATGGCGACCAAAGAACAGAATTTGACAAGGATGAATTTCGCAATAACATACTGATTAATTGTTTTACCTGTGAAAGGTGTCATTTATATATTCAGAACCTTTGGCTGACAGATATCTACGGACACGTATTGGATCCACGTAATATTTTAAAGTTGGTAGTTCCAACTTAAAAGTTGGTAATTTCAACTCGTTAAAGTATGTGATTTAAACTCTTTATCATTTATAAAATTCATCTCGTATTTCGTGAAAACGACATATTATCATGATTATCACGAGAAGGATATGGAGAAAACGAACAGTATTCAATCTCAAAGTCCATTAAACAATATACAAAATAAGAGCAGAGGAAACACGGACCTCCGAAACATCAGAGGTGGGATCAGGTGCCATAGAGGAGTGAGCATCCCCTGCCGACCGGTATCACCCGCCGTGTGCTCCTTGTCATGATCAGGAAATAACGGGGGAAAAATCCGTCGTCAACTCATTGTATAAATAATGGACTAACAATTGGTATGAAAAACGTCAGTCAGCATTTGACTCAATGATAAATTGTATTTGCTGACAAGGTCATTGTATCGACCATAGAACTTACGAAATGATGATTTTAAACGAGACTGCTGATATTCTTGTTTCATCAACTTGCTTGTCAATAATTTACCTCGTTTAAGATATTGTTTATACGTAGAGCATGCTCTTGCGTATCGAATCAACTGAGATATATATACTCCGTATGCAGGTGATGACGGTATATTGCTGCATAAGTAAGGGAAGTTGACGATAGAAAAGTTGAAGTCATCACGTTATCATATAGCTTGGTTGTTAGATTACCATTAGTGTCTTTTTCAAGTAAAATATCCAAGTACGAAGCAGAAGTGTCGGACTCTGTGGTTTCTTTTATCTCAAGCTCACCAGGATATATCGTATCGACTTAGGAATGGAAATTATTATTATTAATTGACAATACATCGTCGATATGTCGAGTTAAAGGCCACAGCAAGTGTTTTCTTCTTTTCATGCATAAGATTTCGCATAAATTCTGCATCATATGAATATAAAAATAAGTCTGCTAATAACGGAGCGCAATTTGTACCCATGGGAATTCCAATAGATTGTTGGAATACCTGGTCTCCAAAAACCACATAGATAATGTCAATCAGAAACTCAAGCTCCTTCTTGATGTCAACTTCAGAGTACTTATGTGTGCAATCAGAATCTGTTTTAACAAAATAATTTTGCAAATGACCGATGACGAGGTAAATAAATTACGAGTTCCTTTCTTATTGAAGAAACAGCTGTCAATGATATTAAAAAGCCTGGATTTTAATTAGTCGTGGTGAATTGTTGTATATAGAGTTGAAAAGTCGTACGTTTTTAGGCTGTTGAGATCATATGTCGTTGTCACAAGATATTAAATCTCTTTTTCATTTATTTTTACAATTCTTTTACATTTATTAAATGTATGTCGTTTTCACGAGATAATATTTCGTTTTCACGAGACAATTTTTTGTGTATCTTAAAGAATAATTACGTGTCATAAGTATACCACCGTATCTTTGTGATTAAGAACTTCAAAAAAATATATTTTGTGGCTCTAACACGCTTTCGTAAAAATATTGTAAGCTAACATGTGGTATTGTGATTATATTACCTTCGGTTTTAGCAGCGGCCGATCTATTTGTGATTGTGTTAGAAAGTGCACATGGGGAAATGAGACGTTATTTATCAGTAGGTCAGAAAATATTTTTCAAATGATAACAATTAAAAATCATGCGTTAAATATTTTTAAAAATTGCTTTAAACTTAGTATTAATTGTTATTACTATGTTTTAATTTCATTATCGCTTCTCATCAGATAATTGATAATTTATGGTTATGTAAAATGAGTTTACAATAAATACTCCCCAGCTTGGGAAAGTATAAGTTTTGAATAGAAATCGTCATGATTTTCCGGATAATAATGACGTGTAAAAGTGCATGGTGAATAAAAATTGAAAAATTTTTCAACCAGTAAAAATTGTTTTGAACATGCTCTACAGCTGCAAATAACACAAAGAAATGTTTCTACATTTTGCACTGCGTCTTGCAGCATAGCCATGGGCATTATCACGTGACCAAGATCCAGGGTATCAGCACGTGATTCATCTTGAGAGACCTTCATCTTCATTTTGATGACAATAAATTCTTATCATTTATCTCTGACCTTTTATTACATTAATGAATCTATTTATAAGTAAATGCGGTAAAATGTCTATTTGTTTTGATATTATTGAATTAATTATTTTGCTTTGAAGACAGCCTAAAATAAAAATGATTTAACTATTTCACCTTTGAATATCTTGACGTGCTTTCCTTGCATGGAAACTTTGAAAATTGTGAAAGAATTTTTTTTAATTGCTAAATTTTGTTTGCGGCCGATTTGATGCTTTGCATCAATTTAACTTGTTTATCTATCACTTAAAATTCTACAAGACCACAAGAAACTATGAAAGAATTTTTAGTATTAAGCCTATATATTATATTTTTAAAAAATGTTGTATAATCATCTTATTCAGTTATCTTTTCTGTTACATATTTCATAGTGACTAATATACTACAGTCATAGAGGGATAACTTTCTACAGTAGTCTCAGAATTATAATAGAGGCCAGTTCAGCACAAAAAACTCTTGGCAAAAAAAACCCATTGAATTGTAAACTTTTGTCTCCTAGATACCCAGAAACAGAGAAGATTTTCAAAGACTACAACATTTTAACCATAGATTCAACAAGATTCCTGTCCTAACACAAGAAACCATGAAATTCACAATTTTAGCAGAGAAAGAGTCACACTTGCTCATTATAAGGCACTTTGTTTGTCGGCTTACTATCAAGAAGCCGAGGAGATTTTATTTAAACAATAAAATGTCTTTCTTTGGTTGTTATTACGGAAATTAATTTCGCAGCTGTTGCAGCAAAAATCCCTTAAATTAAGCAGGATTAATATTAATTACCGGTATTGTATTATTGATATGCAAATGTCATTGTACGTTTAATTAATGGAGCAGCCACTGGTCAAAAATCTGTATAGGTGATTTGCCTACTGCATGTTTTTCATGAACTGTTAAACGGCAATGGTTTTCTTAGATTGAATACTGTAGATTGAATACTGTAGGTTTTTCACACCACTAAGTAGAGGGCGTTTTATCAAGTAGGAAGCATGTCATCGACCTGTGTCAGGCCACTCTCCACCATCGGCTCATACATTCACCCCTGTCGTTGGCTCGCGTATATCACAGTGATAAACACGAGAAATAGTGCGTTTGTTTTAATTCATTATAATTCAATTTATATGTTTATGTCTGACTTTTTAGATAGATATTTACTAAATTAATCCAAAACTATTAATTTAATTTGAAACAATCCTGCAAATATTATTTTTTATACGTTATGTCAAAAAAACTTGACGTGAGCCCATTGCAGAGGTAGTCTCGTTTTCCCTAGACTCTCGCTCTCGAGACTTGGTCCGAGCTCGGGCCAAGTCTCGAGACAATCGCATCATCTCGGGTCTTTCCGTCAGAGGTCGGAAAAACAACCTCGAATGTATTAACATCACCGGATGTTAAAAATTTATACATTTCCTGTTTATTCAAATGTAGGATAGACGGAATTAGAAGTCCCTTCTATGGTATATTTTAGGTAATGTCATTTCATTCAATAAAGTTAAACTCCATATTCCACAGATAAAAGAACTCCGTGCATTTATTTCCGATATCGTGAAAAAGGAGGGTTGTCATGGCGGCTACTATATACATTCGAGGTCGTTTTTCCGCTAGTCGGAATGGCCCGAGAAGTTGCGATTGGTCTCGAGAGCGAGAGTCTGGGGAAAACGAGACAGTAATTGCAGAGGTGTCTGAGAGAGGAACGAACGACAACTCTGCATAGGAGATTGGTGTCAAGCATTGAAAACGAAAGTAGATAATGTTCATAAATGGAATTCAATTGAATCAACAAAAGTAGGTTATTGGTGACAGCTAAGAATATTAATTAATAAGAAATGGCAACAGCTAATGTAAATAGTGATAATGACTCGGTTTTAAACTGCCCAATTTGTCTGGAAAAGCTGAAACTACCAAAACGGTTGCCTTGTTTGCATACATTTTGTGAACATTGCATCCAAAGTTATGTACGTGTATCGACAACCGTCGAAGAGGAAAATGAAGTTCAACGTATCTTCAGTTGCCCTATATGTCGAATGGAGGTGTCACTGCCAAATATGACGGCTACAGAATGGACCGAAAACTTACCAACTAACCATGTAATGATGCGTCTTATTGATTATGAATCAAACAAGACAATAGGCAATGAAATATTGTGTGATCCTTGCAAATTTGCCAATGAAAAAACTAAAGCGAAAGTTCATTGTCACGAGTGCAAGGAATATTTTTGTGAACAATGCCTCAGTTACTTGCATAAACGGAAAAGAGATAACAATACACATACCATAACAACAATTACTGAAGACATGCCCTTGAAACCTTTTGAAGTGGATGAACTGTGTCCTGTTCATTCAGGCAAAGTTTTGGAAGCATATTGCTTTGATCACGGAAATCTTTGTTGTAGTCTTTGTTTCATGACAAATCACAGAAAATGTGATGTCAAGTCTTTGGATGAAATAGCAAATGATAAGAAAGAGGATCTTAATATGGATGACTTCATTTCAAAATTGGTTGAGACAGAGCAAAGCACAGAATCTTTAATAAAGGATAAAAATGAAAAAATTGCACAACTAGATAAAAACAAAGAGGAAATTTTGCAGACAGTTAATGGTATTCTTAGTGACACAAAATCACATTTGGATAGTCTCTATGAAGAATTTAAAAAATCGACTGAAAAAACATTTTTGAATTCAGAGGAAAATCAAAAGGATTATGTTGAGTGGCTTGTTGGCTTTCAAAAAACATTGATTAATTGTAGGAGAATGGCAAACGCAGTTAGAG